AAACAAAGCATTAAACCTTCATGTAAAGAAGCATATTACAAAGCTAACAAATAAAATAGAAGAGCAATGCAGACAAGAGTTCACCAAGCAACAGGAAAAGGAAAAACAGCACACTTTGTGTTTCCATTTTATGGAAATGACCAGGAAGGAAGCTATGAGAAGTGAGAACAAACCAAATGAATAAAAAATTCTAAGCTTTAATCTGATTCGTCAAATGTAGCCTTCTTGTTTACTGTTATCAAAAATTTCATCTAAAAAAGTAGTGAGTTTGTTTGGATAAGAGTTTATTTGGATGATTTATTTGAGATATTTACTGTAGCACTTTTTGTGATGTGATGTATGTGAGATAAAAAAGTGATTGGGAAAATAAAAAGGTGATTGGGATTTGTGAGAATAAATTAAGCAAACCAAATTCTCTCTATCCAAACAAACTCAGTGAATGGTAAGTAAACCATTCCAATGAATCATGATCCAATCTAATGGTGACTGTATGATGAAAGTACAGGAAACAATTGATCAAGTGACTAAAATTTATACAAAGAACAATCTAACTCTTAGCAAATAGTAAACATCCAATCATAGCAAGTCATTGAAGGAAGTAAAACAGTGGCCTATAACTTGTAAAGATTGTTCGAACGATCTAATGATTACAAAAGGAAAACAATTAACCACTGCAAATCAAACGGTCCAAAGTTAAGCAAGATATCAAAATTATTTTAAAAAAGTAAAAAATTTCAAATAAATTAAAACCTTAAAAGTTGCTTTGTGATTAAATACAGCTTAGCTACAAATGATAATTGTTTGACTGTTTCATTTTAATTATGTAAAATAGATTATATACATCTTCCCTAACACACACTTATGTAAAAAAGGGTTACAGATACGATAACATGAAGTTGATGGGCTATTTTCGCATTTTCTCTAAAAGCAAGTAGACCGGCCCATATGTCAAAAGTTTGCAGTCCGAACTCAAGTCATTATCATGGCATTCCATGGTCTAAAAATCATTGACACTAATACTAATACATATATATTATAGGGAATTTATATTTTAATTCAAAACAATAATATATACTTATATATATATTATAGTATAGGTTAAAGTATATGAAAAAGGCAAAACAATTCAAAGAGACGTATACTTAACACGTTAAAAAAAAAGTTTATTTTGTAAGTATAAAATGAATTTTCTTTATTTTAATATCTTAAATAAGTTGAAATCAAATTTTGTTTACCTGTTAGCTGTCAATATATGATAAAAATTTGAGTAAAATAATTTACATCATAGAGCAATTGTAAGCCTATTTATCGGGTACCAAAATGCTAGAGTAAATTGTACTTAGAGCAGGTATCTAGGCAGTGACCATCAAGGTAGAGACTATTATTAATCAAGGTACCAATACGTTATCTTTTCCTTATGAAATGATTCCGTGTCTTGTATCTAATAAGGAAACAAGTTTTAATGAACCAAACGTTATAATGTTCAAGCTCAGTCTGAAATTCTAGTGAATTGGAACATTAGTAGTGTGAGTGTCCAAAATATGGCTTGAATTTCTAACGAATTCGAAGATTCTAATATTCAAGTTTGGTGTGAATTCATAATGAATTTGAAAAATTCTTTTTGAGATTAATTTGATTATTAAAAATTTCAAATTTGAATAAGCTTTTATCAGAAGAAACTGTCTGCAATAATCAAATTCAAGTAAATGGATATTTAATATATAATGCAATCGTGTAAAATTTGTGGAAATAATAATGACATTCAGATTTAAGTTTAGTATGATTATTTATTTATTTATTTTTACTTCCAATAGGTTGTGACCTCTCCAACCTTGTACTTTTTTTTTTTTTAGAAGCTCAACCTCGTACTTAAGGACACAACAAAAGTTTAAAAAATGATCAGCATGTGTTAACATTACAAATTTACAATAGTGCTATTTCTATATATATTACATGGACGTGTGGATAACGGTCTTAAATAAGAGGGCTTTTTTCAAACGTAATATTTAAACTAGAGGACTCAATTGGTACATTTCACTTTGGTATGTTTTGAAGGACCGATTCATGCCTATGTAAAATCTTGTATTTGATACATATTGAACCAAATTAGAACTTTAACCTTGATCCTTTTTTTTTTTGTTGGACTGTTGTTGTCAGATTAATATTGAATGAGTTTTGGTTCACTCTAGTCAAGTACGGAGTAGTTGTATCCATTTTTAAACCTATGATTGATTTCTTCCCTTGATTAATAGGAATTAAGAGAGAGAGAGAGAGAGACCGAGAGAGCATCTAATACTAACCTTTATGCTCGGGCTTTCATCAATTGGTCCCATGGTCTAGTGGTCAGGACATTGGACTCTGAATCCAGTAACCCGAGTTCAAATCTCGGTGGGACCTTGAGGCGCGTGCTTTGGTACCTTTTCACTTCGGATGCCTGTTTTTGTTGCCAACTTGTTATTGGTGTGGAGATAATCAAGAAAATAACAGATATATTTTCTTTAAATGTAGACATGCTACTTATTTTGGAGCTTTGTTATATTCAATTGTGTGATTCTTTTACTGGAGTGAACTTGTGTAAAAAAGATCACAGGATTCAACTCCTTGGTGTGGGGATAATTAATAAGAAAATGACGGACATTTCTTTGAATGTAGATATTTAATAGAGGGCTGGAACCTAGCTAATCTAAGTTTGGATATTGGCGTTTTTAAAGACTTGATGCAGTTGATATTGCAACGTGGCGAAGAGTGGGAGAACGATCTCATTGTGGATGATTTAGTATGCAAGAAATAACATACTAATTTAAGGTAATGAAACCATAATTTGTTGAAATTTGTAGCTGTCATCAAGGGCTTAGTGTGGGTAAAAGAAGTGTGAGTTGGGACTTTAATTCTTCAAAGTCGTGTTTTTAACATTATTCAGAAAATGAATTCTAATGTAATGGGTTTTTCTGATTTTGGCAATCTATTGGACAAGGCTCGAAAACTCTGTGAAACCTTTCGAGCTTGTAAAATCTCTTATATTATATTTGTATAACTATAAATTTGTCAACCTATGATTTAGCAAAACTTTCTCTTGATTTGGAATGTACAAGTGTACAACTATCTGGTAGCATGATTTCCCTTTCTCCATTGATCAAAGTTATAATTTATGATTTCAATGAATGAAATTTTTGTTTTACTCTTAAAAAAAAATCCTTAAGCAAGTATTACGCACCAAGTATTTTACATATTTACCCCTTGACATTTGTCATGTGTTTTACTTCTTTAGAAGCATTATTTTGATGAACAAAATACGGAAGAAACGTGAACATAGGGGTAGCTAAAAATACACGTTGATTTAAAAATTCATGGGATCCAATTTGGTCCGCTCCGAGAAATAGAGTACTCGATTCGCATTATTTGACTAGGTTAGAAGAGGACCAAGTACTTGCTTTCTTTATATACATGGTGAGTTAGGATCAGAGATTTAAAAATCCATCGGTATTCGATTTGCCCTGCATTTTAAAAATTTTTTATATACAAAATATTATTTTTAGATCCAACTAAATAGTTTTATTGAGCAAATTATACCCAAATATGAATGCCTGTAATTTGTTCACATGATTCATTTGTAAAGCTCATAATATTATTTTTTTCTAGAAAAAAGTTTAATTGATGTAGAATATGCATTAAAAAATGGGGCAATGCTTATAAACATTTTCATTAGTTTTGGATTATTTTTTTCCTTTTCTTGTATTCTCTTTGCATATTTGTTTCTCCGCACGAGGCCTTTTTCTTTGGATAAAATCTATATTGAATTTTAGATGAATATGTAAAATATAAAAATAAATTATTTTTTAGAAAAAAATTAAGCGCCGAGAAGGATGGGATGGTACTTACCAATCCGACTATCTTTTAACGAGTACCTATTGATATGCGAAGCGAATAAAGGTCAAGAAAATGTGTGCCCACCCTTGTGTGCAGGAGGAGTGATAGAAAAGTGACCGCATAGTTAAAAATTTGCTAAAGGTACGTGTTTTTTTTTTTAAATAATTTTGGCTAGGGGTCTAAACTTTCAAACTTTTTTCTTATCCTACAAACAGCAATTAATCCTCACCAAATGGAATAATAATTGTTTCTAATAAAGCTTGCCCTTTTGTACTATTTTTTTTTTTTTGGAAACTTCACAAGTTGAAAATTGAAAATATTTGCTTACAAATACTTTTGCATCAGTGCACTAAAATGAACATTCTTACGAATACTAAGAATGTTCATTTATTGTGAGAGTTCTTAATGTGGGGTAGTGGAGAAATGAAAAGCTACATGCAAATGATCAAGGTTTCAGCTATTGTTACTATTGTACTCTATAATATAATACAGTAGTATGTTTTAGTATAACAGATTTACATAGCAACACAACGCGTAAGTGTTCAACACAAGAATCTATGGTGCTACTCTGCACAAAAAAAAAAAAAAGAAAAAGAAATCTTTGTTGCTTTTGCAAAAAAATTTTTTTTTTTTGGTTTTTTGCACTTGTTGTTTAAATGCATACTTTATTGATTTACTATATAATATATTGTATTAGTGCAGATTTTATAAAGTGCTATGTTGTATGATAATTGTAAAAGACCTCGATATCGAATTCTTGGATTCAGATAAAAGAGTCAAATATTTAAGTAGTATCTTTAAATTCAATATTTCAACAGTAACATTGAAAATATAAAAGGATGATGCTACTATTTAGCTCAATTAGTAAGAATTTTAATCAAGTGACTTTTAAATCCTTGTTCATTATTTTGACACAAGCATTTTTTACTTGTTTAACTTGCTTTTGAAGTTTAGAATGACATTTCATGCTAATGCATTGGCTTAAAAGAGCAGGCCTAAGCAGGGAGATAGTCCTAACATCCGATAAAGATTGGGGACCTTTACAGATTCTCCCGAACAAGAGAGGCGAGTTGCACAATAATTTTTGAGTGCGATTTACCCCCCAAGTTGCCAGTATAAGAGGGGCCTCGAAAGTGTCTCAATAGCTGCCTTTTTCACTGACTTGAGCTCGCGATATTCCCCCTCTCTCTTCCTCTTTTCCACCCTTATCATATATTAAATTTTTACCTTTTTTTTCTATAGTAATTTACCGGCGGCGACCGGAGATCGGAGACGCCGCGTACCGGAAATTGTACGGACGCCAGTGGCAAATCGTAGCCAAAGATGAAGGTTTCAGTTAAGACTTTGAAAGGCACCCACTTCCAGATCGAAGTGAAACCCGACGACTACGTACTTACATCTCTCCCTTCTATATCTATTTACAACACACTTCCATGCAGACATATAGATGTGAAAACTAATTTTCGTCACTGAATTTCGTGTTTCTCGAAGTGAATTGGGTATCTAGATGATTAAACTGCAATTAGGGTTTTTGGTGTTGTCAAGATTTTACTTTTTTTTTTCCTATTGACTTCTATTGCCGGCGCTTTCTCAGGATTTTTCATCGTAATTCTGGTGAAATGCTATGTTAACCATGCAAAATATTTGTTCCAAAAAAACAAAGCGTATGTAGATGGTTAATGATTTATTATTTTTTCTTAAATCGGGGGATGTTACTTACAGCGTGAAGGACCTTGCAAAGTCGGTATTTTGAGCATAGAAGTATTTGCATAAATGCTGACATGTACATATGTTGTGACTTATCGGTATATGGCAACGTGTGAACTGCAAGCAGAAGTATATGTGAAAAGTGATGTGTACACCTCGTTATTATTATGTCCTGTATATCCCCCTCCGTCCCCTCGTCAAGTTTAAAAAACTCCAGTTTTGCAGTCAATCTCAAAGTCTTGCCTTTGCCAGTGGCCCATGGCCCCCTTTCCGCGTGAGAAAAGAAAAGGAAAATGCCAAATGCAATACGATTTTTTTTTTCACTAATATGTATTCTCTTGTGAATGGCTGATCGTGAGCTTAGAAGTTTTGGCTAATAGATGTGTTTCTCTGCATTTGATGCTGGTTCAGTTTGATCCAGCTTCATGCATTACATGTCTATTTTTCATTCCTATGCTGAAAAAATAAGACCTTTTGAATTTGTACTTGGAGGATTACCTTGCGACATAAGCGTGTAGTACAGACGCACATGAATCTTGCCTTGTGTTTTGTTGATTTCAGCTATACTGGTTATCACAGTGAGATGATGTTGTCACTGTTTTGTGTAGGTTGCTGATGTGAAGAGAATTATAGAAACGATTCAGGGTTCAGATGTCTACCCGGCTGCACAGCAGATGCTTATTCACCAGGGAAAAGTTCTCAAGGATGACACCACATTGGAGGAAAATAAAGTTGCTGAAAATAGTTTCATTGTTATTATGTTGACCAAGGTATTGTTGTGTTACATGCCCAACTATGACTTGTTTAAGGATTTTATCGTGGACAAAGCAATAGACGTCATGAGTTAGCCTTCATTTTCTGGTTGGGCTGCGAGCCTGAAGGAAGGTGTTGTAGGACTTAGTTTGAGTTGTAATGTCTGAGCACTATATAGTCCTTTCTTCAGTTTCTGAAGCTAGAGTCGGGAGAATTGGCATTGGATTGACCTTTGGAGAGTACTTGTCTTTGGCTAATCTTATTATGAAACATTAGTATGTTAAATGAGAATTATGTCATTCTTTTCCATATTTGAAGAAGAAAATTAAAGCTTGGCATGCATAAAAAATAGTATTTGGAATTGATTACAGTTGAATCATGAATTTTATCAATTGGGATTGATTACACTTTGAATCATGAATATGTTTGCAGAATAAAGTTTCAACAAGTGGGGGCTCATCAGGAACAACTGCAAATACAGTGAGTAGAGAATTATTTGACTAAATCCTTCTGCAGATCTTTGTCATCTTCTTTTTCCTGTTTGATCTTCATTTCCTTTTTATGGAAAATACGGAATGAAGTAAATAATGCATATTACAGTTGCTTGCATTCGCATATAGAATATGACACTGAGTTGTTCTGAGTGATGTTTATGTAGCCTTATGAAGTTAATGGTCCTATTTTATCTTTACTAGCTTTATAGTAATTAAGGTGTATAAACGTATTATGGTTACTTCCGTGTTAGGGGTGCAAACGAGCCGAGTCGAGCCGAGCCTCCAGTTAATTTTGTGAAGCTCGAACTCGAGCTCAAAATGTCAAGCTCGAGCTCGAGCTTAAAAAATAAAATTTTAAAAAAATAAAAAATAAATATTTATTTTTAAAAATGAATAAAATAATAATTTTTTAATAAATAATAAAATATTAGGGATATATGTGTAATTTTACTATTAAAATAAAAAATAAAAAATAAAAAAAATATATAATTGAGGTCGCAAGCCAACGAGCTTAATGTTTTTGAGCTCGAGCTCGAGCTCGAGTTCGATTTAATTAGCTCGAGCTCGACTCGAGCTCGATATTGACCGAGCTCGAGTTGAGCTCGTGCTCGCGAGCGGCTCGATTCGTGAACACCCCTATTCCGTGTTGTCAGTTGCTTGAACGCATTTAATTTTACAGTTGAGGAGATAATTGCTTATGAGTAGTTCTTTAGGGGTACTCTTCTGGTGGGGGAAATTTGTCTATTGATATCATGTAATATTGCTCTTCATCATTTAGCTAAAAATTTGAAGCATGGTAGCATTCAGGATAGTCATACTTTCAGTGGGAATGAGTAGATTAGATGCCTACAGGTATTGGACTTTGTCCGAAATTTCTAATGGCAAAGTATTTGATATTTGCATATCTATTATTAGTGCAATAAAAATAGAAGGATTAGGTTGCTGAATGGGAAGTTTGTAGTTTGATGGTCTCTTGATTTTAGTTCTTTGACAAGTAATATGCAGTAGAAGAGAAATTAGACCTTCAATTTGCTGTCAAGTTCAAATTTAGTACTTCGTCATGACAGGAGAAGTTCTGAGTGATGGCATGTTCTGTCTGAAAAATGTTTCCTATTCTTTCCATGAGCAAGCAAAAGCACAAAATGGCAAGGTTGTTTTGGTGGTTGAATTCAGATGGTAACTTGCATATGGCCTGTATACCTATATATATCCTCTCTGATTGGATTTGGATCTTTCGATGGGAACACTCTTCTAGAATAATTGTTTAACCAACACATAGCTTGCTTCTTTTTATTTTATTGCTTTTTGTTGTTGTTTTTGTGTGTGTGTGTGCTTTTTTTAATGTGTGGTGTGTGTGCTGGCAAATTCTATACACGGAGGTTCTAGGGCTGAGAATATCATCTTTGTAGGCGCAACCTGCAACTGCTGCTGCTCAAGCAACTCAACCTGTGACAGCACCTCAAGCTTCTGCTACGAATGTGTCACCGTAAATATAATTTTTAATTTTACTGGAAGTGTTATAAATTGTCAGAAAACAGCTAGAGATTCTCACTTCTCACTTGAATTCATTTACCTCTGTACTATGTGCAGGCCTCAGACTGCTCCTGAATCAACTCCTGCTCCTGCACCTGCACCTGCACCTCCACCTGCACCTGCACCTGATTCGTGAGTCTTTGTCATATTTTTTGTTGCTGTTGGAACTCTTATGTGTACTTAGCACTGTGATTTGGAGACTTGGTGCATTGAGTAGTTCACCTTTTTTCTTCATAGCAGTTCAGTGACAGATGTGTATGGCCAAGCGGCATCAAATCTGGTGGCTGGAACTACCTTGGAGAGTACTATTCAACAAATACTTGATATGGGTGGAGGGAGTTGGGATCGGGATACGGTAATCCGTGCTTTGCGCGCTGCATATAATAATCCAGAAAGAGCCGTTGAATACCTTTATTCTGTGAGTATCTTTTATTTTTTTGGTTTGTGCGGGTCTCGTGTGTCTCCTTCAGGGCTATGATTTGTTTCTTCATAACAACTTGCACGGCAAATGATATGTTCATCTTATCCTGCTATCTTTGTGCTGAAATAGTGGCTTTATTATGGGAAAATGGTGATTGTGTGTACTTGACCCATTTTTTTGGCCTTGATGTTGATTCAATTTGATAAAAAAATTTTTGGCCTTGGAATTGATCAAATTGATGTGCTCATTGCTTTGTTTATTTTCCAAAATGCGATTGAATTGGTTGACAGATTGTGAGGAAGATTTTTTCTTTTGAATGATTTAAATATATGTGGTTTTACTGAAATTTAATTTTCTTCTTTTGTACTTCACTCTCCTCCTTTGTTCTGCAAGCTCACGAGTCAAAAGTTATGTTGCTTATTGAGTGCTAATTGTTGAAAGTGATTTCATTAATAGAATGATGTTAGTGGAGAAGTTGAAAGGTGTCACTTGCATTATAACCAATAATTCAGTGTGAATTTTTCTACCCTCTTAGCTCATACTATTACTTCTAACTGGAAAAGATCCTGAATTTGATATAGGGTATCCCTGAAGCAGCTGAAGGCCCTCCTCCAGCCCAAGCTCCTGCAAGTGCACAGTCAGTGAACCCATCAGCCCAGGCTCCACAACCAGCAGTACCTTCCAGTGGGCCAAATGCTAATCCTTTAGATCTTTTCCCACAGGTAGGGTAATTTATAAAGAACAGGTGTTTTTTGATTACAAGATTTGACTTCACATGTTTGAAGAGAAAAAGGATATACCATGAATTTTGAATGTGGATCAGGGCCTCCCAAGTGGGGGTACAAATGCAAGTGCTGGCAGCTTAGATTTTCTACGAAATAGTCAGCAGGTAAATAAGATGCTTTATCCAGGATCTAGGATTATGTGGGAGTAATGAGCATAATCTGATTTGTCTTTACCTTTCCAGTTCCAAGCTTTACGTGCAATGGTGCAAGCCAATCCTCAAATCCTGCAGGTACTGGTGGTAGACATCAAATTATCGTTTCGGCTATTTTAGGCTTTGCTTAGCATTGTAGGAATGACAGCTCTTCTTCACCTGCAGCCAATGCTTCAAGAGCTCGGAAAGCAAAATCCGCACTTAATGCGACTCATTCAAGAGCATCAGGCTGACTTCCTACGCCTAATAAATGAACCTGTTGAAGGGGAGGGGTGAGCGCGTTACTGGTAGTTCTGTATAGATGTGTTGGTATATTTAACCTATTTGCAGATGCCTATATATTTCTTGATGCATGAAACTGACTAATGTGGTTAATTATGATTGTGCCGGTCTCAGGAACATATTGGGGCAACTTGCTGAAGCAATGCCACAGGCTGTGACTGTCACACCTGAGGAACGTGAAGCAATTGAACGTGTATGCTTATAAATCTCCTTTATTATTCACATTATGCGATAAGCTAGTTTGGTTTGGTTTGGTTTAGTTCATGATTGGTTTCACGTTGGAAATGCCAAGGTGTAGACCATGTTAGTGCTTGTTTGGTTCTCTAAGTTAACATGTTGAAGTTCCAAAGTACCTTTGCCTTGAAGTTATGGCTGGTTGAGTTCATTAAGAAACTAAGAAACATGATTAGGCATAAACCAACAAACACGTTAACTTATGTTTTAAAGTTGAATTTTGGTATTTTCTGTGTGTATCTTATTAATCTATATCATCTCCATTCTTTTTGTGATATTTATTTGTTTGATTAGCTGGAACCTTGTCCTTGAGAGAGATTAAACGCAAGTAAAATGAAATTTGTCATGATCTTCATTTGATGTCATTTTGGCAGCTTGAAGCAATGGGTTTTGATCCAGCCTTGGTATTGGAAGTATTTTTTGCGTGCAACAAGAACGAGGAACTAGCTGCAAACTACCTGTTAGATCATATGCACGAGTTTGATGAATGATGTGGGATGAACACTGTACTTACCTCCCCAGTCTAGTTATTTAAGTTCTTTAATGTGCTTTGACTTTTGACCTGCCATGTGGATTAATTTTATTTCACCGTTCACAGTGGCTTAGCTTAACTCTGTATCTCTTGGATCTTATATAAAGAAATGTTTGGTATGTTCTTGTCATCGAAGATGAGCTTTTGCTTGTTTCCTTTGCATGTTTTCTCTGATATGGAGACGTTTCTTGCTTCAGCTGGGCAATTTTTATCGTCAACATGTGGGGTGATTAATTGTAAGAGCTTGATCCAGTCTCTGGGAGTAATGACTGGCGAATTAAGTCATTCTAGGCGGAATGAAATTCTCACTCAATAACTAATTCACTGGCAAGATTTGATCCCGGACTGCAATTAGGCAGTTTGTCTGTTAGATCTTTTCATATTAAGCGTTCAATTAGGTGAGTAGGGTGATTGCTTGTCAAGCTTCATACGGCTGGCTGAACAGAACAAGAGAATTATGTCACCAAAGGGATGGGGAATAGACGATTTCCTGTGTTTGAAGTCGTTATTTTTTCCCCCATTTCTGAAAGGTATATGAATTAAAGGACTTGGTAATAGTAATTCAGTATACCTTTTTTTTTTTTTGCATAGTCTAATAGTATCCTATCCGCACAAAGGAGAGTATTCCAACCAAAACAAGAAAATCTGGACATGCGAATGTGCCTTTTTATTACCAGAACATGTCATTCCCCGTCAAAAGCACTCATAACACGCAATTTTGCACTATACGAAAACTTTGGCCCGCGCTAGTCTGTTAGAATTGCTGAACATTGTGCTGGAAGCAGTATTTAACATCTCAGTCCAATTATCTGCCTTTGGTCGGATCTCACGACCCTTGGACCCCGACATGTTCTTTCTTTTAATGACTTTGAATAAATAATCTCCGTTTACACACACTGTGATCGAGCAACTGTCATCTGATCAACAAAAATTTACCCAGTGTTGCAGGTATAGCACTCATGCAGTCCAAGTTTGTTGGATATTTTTCTTTTTTCCTCCCTAAGCAAAGTCAAGAAACCAAAAGAATCGCAATGATGGAAATACAGCAGAATCGAAGCAAGAAAACAAGCCAAGAAAACGTTTTCACCCATGTCAACAAAAATTGTACCCATTGAAGATCATTTTCGTATTCACTGTGGCGCTTTTGTAATGTCAAGCATGTGAGATTAAAAAAAAAAAAACGTGCCTAAAGAATCTAACCTTTTTCCCTAAATAATCCATATCCAAACGGACTCTAAATTCTTTGCAAAAGTTTCCAACTCCTTCAATGGGTGGCCACGCTTACTACGGGATGAATTCTTAAACACACCTGGAACTTGTAGAAACCAACAACTGGTGATGAATGATGATTATTCTTGAACAGTGTATACAGGCTTCCACAACTGTTCGACATTTAACTATCAGTCACAAAACAATACAAAGCCACACACCCACAAAGAAGGCTCAAACATCCCATGGAATTTAAGGCTAAATGTTAGGCTCAAAAGTCATAGGCTTCTATAGGAAAAATATAATGCTCGCGTGAAATTAGTTAAATTTGGTTAGTTTTTGACAATTCTCCTAATAAAACTCCACAAGATACAGTTAACAATTTTCTTCACAAGGTTGCATTTGCTATATAAGCCGGTGTGTTTTGTGAAAAATTGCACGTAGAAAATGAATGTTGCCAATAGATTGAAGAAGCATAAGGTACAATGGAAGAAATATATTCTTTAGCAGTACCTGGGGATATCAAGTGAAAAAAACATACGGAGTTCAGGGCTTTAGCAGTACCTGGGGATATCAAGTCAGAAAAAAAAAAGGCATATGGAGTTCAGGGTTAATATGCATTGATACAGCAAGCCATGTCTCACATACGATCTTTGAGCAACATTAGCAAAATCAACCAATGTATAGATATTGGGTTGATATTAATTTATGTCATGTTTCACTTCCTGCGATCACCTCAACTTTCAAACCAGATTCAAATTTTCATGCCCATCTCAATAGTGTCGTACCCTCATAAGAGATCAAGTATTCTCCAGAATTTTGGGCTTGGTTCCCTCAATCTAGATTTTTGACTTCAATTGTTAGACCAAATACAGAATCATACTTGCAGAAGCCCTAAACATGCCAGAAACATTTGGAACAGCATCATGTCAAGAGACTTATTGCAATCCTTGCACAGTTTCCTATTTCCTGATTTCTTTTTTGCCCACTACTTGACCAATTTCATCCATGCAAACCAAGACCCTGTCAGAAAGGAGAACTGCAACCTTAAATAGCTAAATATGACAAAAGTTCATGAACTTCTTTGAAAATGAAGGGTGAGTCAGAAAAACTGTGACTTGCTGGCACTTTCACAAATGAGCATGTTAGACTTTTTTGTGTCAAGTACAGGAAGCAGACAACTGGACTTTCTCCCACAGGAACAATAAATTAAAAGTCAAATAGAAAACAGAATCACTTTCCCCATGTGGTAAAAGATTAACATATCCTTTTAATGTTGCTTATAAAAGGTTTCAATCTTCCAGCAAATTACTTTCAGGGAAGCTTAAGAGCTTTATTCTACAAACCTAAGAACTAATGGATTTGAAACTAGTAATTCGCTGCAAAGAAATACTGAGATACAGAGACCAAGGTGGTAACTATTGTTTCCATCTAAGCACAGTGGCAGGTGTTCCCATGCCAATTTTAGTGTTCTTGAGCTACTTCACCTAGGACCTAGGTTTCAAATACCATGTCTTCCTTCTCATAACCTCAGAATGACCATCTACTGCTCTTGCTCAACATCCCCTCACAACCATTATCGACTCCTTTGCCTCCCCATCTCAAAAACAACTATGACCAAGAAAAAAGTTGGCTAACATCTCCTAATAGCTTGGGCATGTGATCTACAAGTAGCACAAAGACAGATGCATTTGTGATGACAAGAAGCTTTGTGTGGACTGCAAATAGACAAAAGCATGTTAAATTTTTCTTAATTTTTCTGTTTTATACTCAATAAAGATGAGAATATGAACAAAAAGGATGTTGTCTGCAGATTTTCCTATGCTTAAAAGACAAGCTATTTACCTAAGAACCTTTTCAACAATCAACAGTTCGTCCTTCAATTTTTCATTTTCTTGCAACAATGATGAGATTCATATGTTATTTTAGGAGATTTATTAAGCATTGTAAAATGCATGGCTACAATTCACTATATGAGCTTAGATAAAGGAATTTGTACTCCATAGAACTTCAAAGCCATCATTTCACTTTGCGTCACATATGTTACCAACATAGATCTCTTGCAGTATCACAATATGTTAACAACAATTCTGAACTCAATGGCTGCCATGTAGACGTTCTCAACTTTCAATTTTGAAATAAGATCTATCATGCTTAAACGTACTTCCAATCCTGGAGGAAATAAATAATTCTTAAATCCACATTTCCGTCTGATGAGCAGATGTTTTGTGCCAATTAAATAAAAAGCACGTCATTATTCTCCTCATTGCGAGGGCAACTCCACCCTTGAAATTCCAAAATGCTCTAATGCAAATTCACCAATATCTTAGAAAATAAATGCCAAAAAAAATAAAAAATAAAAAAGATGGTATGGTGTTGGTAGTAGATAACAATCTACTTTGGCATATACAAGAAAAGGTGATAACCATCAAAATTCATAAGCAACAATCAAGCAGCACGAGAACTCTAATCAACAAGTCACAACAACTAGAGATGACTCAAGAATTTCTTCTGCTCAAGTACCTAGACATGAAAATCGCTCTGTAGAAGCTTACGCCAAATCTCCACCGCTCTGCTGCCACAAATTGATAATATCTGTGGCCTGATTAAGAAGAATGACCATCTGCTTCTGAGATATCCAGGGCTTACTCTCCAGCATAAGTCTGAGCTCCTCCCAAGCATCTTTCCTTGGCCAAAAGTAGTAAGGACTTAGAGGGATTGTTCCATATCCCGGAATCACTTGGTCTATTGAAATCCCAATATTCTTCTGCATCCATACAAACTTTAAGACCAGCCTAGGTTTCTCCATTGGCTTCACAACTACTTTAAGCTTCTTAAGAAAAACCCCAACCAATTAGGAAAAAAATTAATCTTTTTCACAAGACCAAGCCTTTTTTCTTTTTCAAAGTAAAAAAAATATACAAACTTGGTGTATAAAAAGAAAGGTAGATGTCGCACCTGTTTCTGAGGTAGGTTTGAGGAGATGGATTCAGGGGTGGGCGTATCCTGGGCAACTGCTGCTGAAGAGGCAGAGATGCTGAATGTTCTCCCCTTGTTCAATTGACATGAATTCAAAGAAGAGGGCTTGGGGATTTTGAGAGAGACCCATAACTTTTGACTGGGAAATGAAGATGGGGAGGAGGGCTTTAAATTGGAAAAACTACTAACAGTCGGTTGAATTGTTGTAGTAAACATCTTTCAGAAAGTGCGTGAGATTATACGCGAGATTGTGTATATATAGCTTCTGGCAGTGCGGGCGAATGGCATGAGGATGACAAGACAGCGGCTTTGCCACTTCAAGCTTAGGGACTTGTAAAGTCGTGCGGTTTGGAGGAGTGGCAATTTATATGTCTGCATCAGCATATCCTAGGCAACTTACCGTCATCTGTAACTTCTTTTTTTTTTTTTTTTTTTTTGTCGACGGAGTGGGGTGTCCGGGTCAAGTCCGTAAAGGCGGCCCGACTAATCCCCACTTCTGCCCGGCCCAACGCCCCAACCGGACCTAGCACGTTAAATGCACGGCGAACTGATGTTGCTGCGGAGGTTCGACCCCAGGACCTAACGGTTCCGAGGAAGAAGCGCCAACCACCAGCCCATTCACGTGAGGGCATCGTCATCTGTAACTTCGCTGGTCAATTTTATGTAACTCCGAAGGTCCGTTTGGATTCCTTGTTTTTTACTCTGTTTTTCAAAAACTGTTTTTCACCATATTTATAATATTATAATATTTATAATTAATATTAATTATATTAAATATTTATTTATTTATTTATTTATATTATAAATATGTTATTTTATTTAAAATATATTTTTATATATTTATATAAATATTATAAATATTATATATTTATACATAATATATATATTTATGTATATTTATAATATACATTTATATTATGTATTATATATACTATAATATATTTATAATACATTTATACATTTATATTAATATACATAATATTAATTTTACATTTATACATAATATTAATATATATTTATAATATATTAATTAATAAATTTTATATAATATTAATTTATACATTTATACATTTATAATAATATACACTTATACATTTATAATATATTTTTATATTTTTATATAAATATATTTATTTATAAATATTTATAAATGCATTATAAATGCGTAAATGTATATAAATATAAAATTATAAAAATTATAAATTATAATAATACTCAAAAAATATGTTTTAAAAATACCTCTAAAAATAATCCAAAAAAATTTATAGTAAAAGTTTTTCATATAATTTTTGAAATACAATCCCAAAAACAACTAATCCAAACAGACTTGTATTTTAAAAATGAAATGCTACAGTGTTGTTTTTGAAAAATAATCCAAAAAACAGCTAATTCAAACGGATCCCGAAGTTACCAAATTACAAGTGCTACAGGAACATCTTCTTTTTACATGCCTTTCAAAAAGTTCTAGGCGTTCTGTTTCGCACGGTTAAAGGAAGTAAGAAATTTAGTTGATTAATCTATTAACCATCTCGAGTTTTTGGGGCTTGCCATACACAGGTTGATGCAAAACTCCACGTGCATATCAAATACCTTTTCTTTTTAATAAAATAAAAAATGATTACTTACCTATATTTTCAATGACTCGAACTTGTGATATGTCAATTACAAGTGAAACATCAAACTCATGGAAGAGGAAATGTAAGAAAGAAAGGAAGACGGAAAGAGAAATGTAAGAGAGGGAGAGATGTAAGACGGAGAGAGAAATGTAAGAGAGAAAAGCTCTGAGAAACTGTACGAAACCATGGAAGAGGAACTGAGAAAACCAGATCGAATAGGAGATAGTGATGAAGGAAGGATAGACGGTAGTGCCCGACGTGAACTCAAGAAATTTAAGCGCAGATCTTCAGGGGAAGTTGTTCCCAACCCGAGCCCCAGATCCGAGGATGGAGCGAAGCCAGCTTTCACCGCACCCATTCCTCTAGCGTCACCTTGGTCCGGGAGATCTTTCCTCGAAGCGCTGAAGGAGAAACCAAGCACAAAGGATTTCTACGACGGCTCTGAGGAGGAAATGGAAGTAGTTGAAGAAAGTCTAGAGGAAGAAAAAGACTTGGGGAAAGAGGCAGAAATCGCAGCCTCGAAATTTCCGAGAGTGGTAATAGAGAAAGGAAAGAATACCGATTTCTGGAAGCCTTGGAGGAAAAGTTTGATTGTGAAAGTTTTGGGACGAACAGTCAACTTCCGAGATCTGGAAATGAAACTGAGAGAACTGTGGAAGCTGGATAAGTATTTTGAACTAATAGATCTGGAACATGGCTACTTCATCACTCGGTTCCTCAAGAAGGAGGATTATCAAAAGGTCTTAGGGGAGGACCCTGGATGTTCTAGGGTAACTATGTTACCATAAGCAAATGGAAGTCAGATTTTAGGCCAGCGCAAAAGGATGTAAAGACAACATTAACCTGGGTAAGATTGTCAGGTTTGCCGATTGAATATTATGTTGAAGACTTTCTCATGAAAGTGGGGAATATAGTGGGGAAGGCGGTGAAAGTGGACAGCCAAACTCTGGAAGTGACTAGGGGAAAGTATGCGAGGATTTGCGTTGAAGTGGACTTAAAAAAGCCACTAATACCATTTATTTGGGTGAGCAATGATTTGCAAGCAGTTGAATATGAAGGGCTATATGCGATCTGTTTTGAATGTGGCCAATATGGCCACATTGCTTCTAACTGTCACAAGAATTCCAACAATGCAGAGGGAACGGATGCACAGGCTAACACTGTGACTGGGGAGGGTCACCGGACAGAGAGGGTAGTGCCGGAGGCCAACCCCTATGGGCCATGGATGCTGGCGAAACAGAGGAGGTACAAGCCAGAAAACAGAGTGCAAGGTTTCAGGCCCCAGGAAGGAAGTGGACTGGGAACTGCCAAATTCGCTAAAACTATTGGAGAAAACCGTGAAGGGAAGAAGAAAAATTTTTCAAGAAAAGGAGACAAAGCCCAGGGTGGAGTACAAGGGCGTTATGAACAAGGGGAAACAAACATGACACAATTTGGGAAGAAACCGCAGGAGGAGCGTGGAGGCCCAAACAGTTGGGAAAACGGTTCAGGATCTAGGTTTATGGCTCTGAATGAAATGGAATCAAAGGAGCTAGCTCAAGAAAAGGCAACTTCAAGAGATGTCCTGAGGGATATCATTAACGCCATCCCAATCCCACCTGATGGAATAGTATTCAAGGGAACAAAGTCAGCATTGAGCAGACAAGGGAAGGAAATATCAAGGCCAAACAAGAAGGTGGAAGTTCTTGCCTTCAAAAAGCAAAAAGCAACAGGAGCAAAAACAGGAGGGAAGAGCGAGGCAGGCCAACATGCTATTGAGTTTGTGGTTAAGGAGAACCGAGATGAAATCTGTATTGCTTTTACCCCAGGAGTTAGCAAAGAAGGGGTGGAATGTAAGCAAGGTAAGGAGAGGGAAAGTAGGTATCAAATGGTAACAGCCACTGACGCGCTGGAGCAGGAGAAAGCAAAAAATCTGGATCCAGGGGAGGGTTGTGGTATTGAGGGCTTTCACCTAACAAATCATGAGTTCCCAGCTCTTGTAAGGACGAATATTAGGGATCACACCCAACATCACAAGGTGGTGACCAATATTGAAAGTAGGGTAAGTGCAGAGTAGGTGAGCTCGACTGGAGCAATGGAGGAGGGGACGTAAACCCATCCTTCCTAAATCCGCAAGTTAATAGTCTATATGGATACAAGAATAATTTGTTGGAATTGTAGAGAAGCTGTGAATAGGCGATTCTGGAGGAATCTAAAGGAGATTATAAGGAAAAATGACCCTATGATTTTGATTCTAGTAGAAACAAGAACAAGTAGTGATAAAGGCCGCAGGATTCTACGGAGATTTAACTTTAACCAGATGGCTTTCGTCGAAGCGTAGGGATTTTCAGGAGGAATATGGATGTACTGGAATGATCGGGAGGTGGAAGTAGAAACAGTATCTACTAACTGGCATATCATGAATGTGGTGGTGAAAAATAGAGATGGGAATGAATGGTTGATGTTGACAATATATGTCTCACCAGAAGTAGAGTTGAGAAAGCTGCTATGGAAGTACCTGCAGGAACTTGGAGAGAAAGTCAAGTTTTCGTGGCTACTGCGGGGAGATTTTAATGAAGTTGTTGACTCAACTGAGAAGAGAGGGGGGCGACACTGTAGGGAAATACTCAAATAGCTTAATTGAATGCATTCGGAGATGTGAACTGATTGACTTGGGATTCAGTGGTCCAACTCTTACATGGAACAACTGCAGAGAGGGAGGTGCCAATGTTGGGAAAAGACTAGATAGAGCGTTGTGTAATGGGATGTGAAATCTGGATTACCAGAGGGCTAGTGTTACTCATCTTACAAGAACTCACTCAGATCATCATCCGATAAGAGTGAATACTAAGAAGGAGGATGGACAGATGGGCAGCAGCCCGTTCCGGGTAGAGAATGCTTGGTACACTCACTATGATTTCTACAATCAGGTAGAGCAAAACTGGAACAATAATAAGGATTTGCTGGAGAATGTGAAGATATTTACAGAAAAAATCAAAAACTGGATTAGGGAGGTATTTGGTAACATTCTTAGAAAGAAGAAAAGATGCCAGGCTAGAATTAATGGAATCCAGAGGAGTCTTTCACGAGCACCGTCTATTCGCCTACAAAAACTTGAAGAGGAATTAATTGCTGAGTATAATACAATCCTAGAGCAAGAGGAGATAATGTGGCATCAAAGGGCAAAGGTGGAGTGGTTGAAATACGGGGACGGAAACACGAGGTTCTTTCACTTGTCAACTACTATTCGCAAGTGAAAGAACACAATACAAAGTCTGAGGGATACACAAGGAAAGTGGCAAGAAGACCCAGACACGGTGAGAAACATTGTGCTGAACTTCTTCAAGGACCTATACAGTGACAGAAACCAACATAGAATTGCCAGCCAATTTCACAGCTTTGCAACCCTGTCAACTAGGGAGGGGGGAAGACTGACCAGACCAATGGATGAAGGGGAGATTAAAAGGGCACTGTTTGAGATGAGGGGAGATAAATCACCAGGCCCAGACGGGATACCCGCGAACTTCTACCAAAGATGCTGGAACCAAGTAAGTGGCTCATTTATTAAGTGCATTCAACAAGTCTTTAGAGAGAAAAAACTCCCACAAGTCTTTAGAGAGAAAAAACTCCCACTAGGCATGAACAATACATATATTGCCTTCATGCCTAAGGTGAAATATCCTGAAACGGTAGCTCAGTTGAGACCAATATCCTTGTGTAATGTATGCTACAAAGTCATTACCAAGATTATTGTGAATCGTTTGAGACCTATGCTAAAAGAGTTGGTTGGCCCTAACCAGGCTAGTTTCTGTCCTGGAAGATTTACAACAGATAACATTATAATCATCCAGGAAATGATCCATATAATGAAGAGGAAAAAAGGAAAAAAAGGTTATATTGCAATAAAAGTGGACTTGGAAAAAGCTTATGACTAGGGATGGCAACGGGGCGGGGTTGGGGCGGGGAACCCAGCCCCGCTACCTACAAACTCCCCCCGTTTCCCCCGTCCTGCTTCCCCCGCGGGTGCCCCCGCAGGGTTAATACAAATTTGTTATATATTTTATTATGGTTAAATTTTAGTAAATAATCAAGTACTAAAATATTAACACATCATCCAATTATTATTCATTATAATTTTACAATTGAAACTTATAAAAATAATCAAACAAAAATTATTTGAATACAATCCAATATGATGAAATAAATATAACTAAAATAGTCAAATTTTCACTTTTGGCACAAATACAATCACTAATTCATTATTGTGCTTGTGGTTTTTTTAAGAAAAAAATGTTATTGTATTAAGTGTAATTAGGAATTTAGTATAAATGTATTAGTAAATTTAGTATAACCAATTAATAATTTGTATTAGTACACATATATAATTAATAATATCAATTATATTATATATACTAATAGACATTATATAATACATACAACTAATAATATCATTATCATAAGTTTGTAACTAATTAAAGTATATATTATATATATAATTACATACATATATATATTTTATATATTTATTTTTTTAAAGCGGGTGGCGGGGCGGGGGTACACTCCCCTACCTCCCGCCCCGTTTCTAAGCGGGGGGAAAAAAATTCCCTCCGCCCCCGCCCCAACCCCCTTCCCATTAGCCCCCCGCGGGGCGGGTGCCCGTGGTCACCCGTCTCCATTGTCATCCCTACTTATGACCGTGTGAGATGGGACTTTTTACAGCAAACCCTGAAATTTGTGGGTATTCCCCAAGATCTGGTAGTTTTAATTATGAATTGTGTGCGGACGGAAAGCATGGAGATTCTTTGGAATGGAAAAAGATCAGAACCGTTCATCCCATAAAGAGAAATTAGTCAAAGGGATCCCATTTCCTCTTACTTATTCATCCTATGTATGAAAAGATTGAGCCACATTATAAATAAAGCAGCAGGTGAAAGAAGATGGAGAAGGATGAAGGCTTCAAGATCAGGGCCAGAAATTACTCATCTAATGCTTGCGGATGATCTTTTTCTTTTTGCCGAAGCAAGTGTAGAACAAGCAGTGGAAGTGGGGAAGATATTGCAAGAGTTATGTACTTTATCCGGACAAAGAGTGAACGTGAGCAAATCAAAACTGTTTGCATCCTCAAATGTCTCACGGCAATTGGTAAGGGAAATGTGCAGATTGACAGGAGTTAAGTAGACACAGGACTTGGGAAAGTATTTGGGCATGCCAATTCTGCATAATAGGGTGACTAAGGCTACCTACACAGAATTGCTGGATAAGGTGAGAAGCAAATTGGCAGGATGGCAAAGGAAACACTTGTCCTTTGCAGGCGGGGTAACCCTGATCAAGCCGGTGATTACAACTATCCCAAATTACTCCATGCAAACCAGCTTGCTCCCATGCTCAGTGGTAGAGGAGATAGAGAAGACAGCAAGAGGTTTTCTCTTGGGGGACAGCTCAAATCAAAGGAAAATTTACCATGTAGGGTGGGGAAAGGTGACACAACCCAAAGGTAAAGGAGAACTAGGGATCCGAAGGCTGAGTAAAGTTAATAGAGCGTTTCTAGCTAAAGTAAGCTGGAGGTTTACGGATAGAGAGGAGGCGCTGTGAAAGAAAGTGTTAAGAGAGAAATATTGCGGAGGACAGGGAGACCTATTCGCAAAAAAACAGGCGAATCTCATGCTCGGAAGAGTATATGTGAAGGCAGTAAAGTTACAGCTAGAGGAAAGAAGTGGAGGGTTGGAAACGACAATCTTGCTCTTTTCTGGACAAAAAGGTGGATGTCAGATATACCACTAATTGAAGAAGCTGAAGTAGACTTAAACCCAGAGGTTCTGAAAGGAAGGTAGGAAAGTACTGGAGGGAAGGAGAAGAATGGAAATGGGAAGAACTGGAACGAGTATTGACATAAGAAACAGTAGCTAAACTCAAAGGATACTGTGTGGTACAAGGTGAGGATAATCCAGATGTAATGAGTTGGAGCCCAAAAGTAAGAGGGAACTTCACGTCAGCTTCAGGATATGAAATCCTATTAGAAGAGGAGGACTTGGGGCCGAGAGCTAAAGGGTGGGAGAGGATTTGGAAATAGAAAGGCCCAGAGAGGTGGCCGTTGGCAAATTACTCACACAAAGAGAGAAGAAACGAAGGCACTTGGCTCTGGATGATAAATGCCTGATATGCAGAGAGCATGATGAAACTACACTTCATGCTCTCAGGGATTGTACCTGGATCAAAACCAATTGGAAAAGTTTGGTGTTCCCACATGTTTGGGAGGAGTTTTTCATCAAGAACACAGTAGATTGGGTAGATTGGAACCTAACGCAAGTGGGCATAGGAGCTGGGGGGAGAGTGATGTGGCAGCTAATGTTCCAACTAACGGTGTACCACGCTTGGAGGGCCAGAAACAAATTTGCTATTGAAGATGAGAACTACCTCCTTAAAATCTCCCCAGCAGTTCTGAGGCAAATGGCAGAACAAGCAAAGCAGCTTCTATTCAATGGGAGAGGCAGATTCCCTAGGCAAGAGTGCTTCATAAGATGGATTCCACCAATTGAAGGAGTGGTTAAAGTTAATGTGGATGGTGCCTCGGAAAGAAATCCTGGCAGAGCTAGAGTAGGAGGGCTCATTAGAGATGCGGCAGGGATATGGTTAGGAGGTTTTGCAGAAAGTATAGGGGAAGCAAGCAACATAGCAGCTAAGCTATGGGGAATTCTTAAAGGAATGCAGTTGGCTTGGGACAAAGGATACAAAGATGTCATCAAAGAGTCGGATTCGAAAGTGGGGCTGGAGTTGATAGAAGATGCAGTGGCCACCTCGCCTTACCACAATTTGGTGAAGCAGATTAGAAACATGAAGAGCAGAGAATGGTCGTGCAGGCTGCAACATAGATGGAGGAAAGGAAACAGGTGTGCTGATTGGCTGGCAAAAGAAGCAATCCAGTTACAGTTATCAGGCGGACTAATGGAAGAACCACCGGATGGACTAAGAGAGTTACTAGGAGCTGATATAATTAGGGTCACAACCCCACGCTTAGTACCTTGTTAATAGGCAGTTGCCTGTCCTTTGTATTCAAAAAAAAAAAACATCAAACTCATAATTTATTAATTTATTAATTACAAGTGAAGTGTCTACTTATTAACAAGACTGCACCTCATTGTCCAATACCTTACAAAGCATTGAACAAGGCTCCCAGATGTACACGAGACAACTAACTATTTAGCGGGAGCTGATTTTATAATTTGTTACAACTTTCTAGAGTTGGCTGGTGCATTCGTGATTGAGTAGTTAAAGATGGCACACGTCTCTGTCTGTCATCGCTACTTTGTTGAAGCATTTCCGATTTCTAAAAGAATAAGATAACTTTAATCAATTAATTGCCATTACATCTCAAGAATGCTATTTCCAAACATTATGAAAATGGAAAAGAACTACAGCTATGTATAGTTTATTTGACTTGCAGATATGAAAACTACAAAAATCTTTATACACGAAGAAGGATACAACATAAGTGAATACTCTAGGTAAAGCTTCCTCCTTCATTCCTGCAAAATAAAAGAAACAATAAGGGTAAAAAAAAAGAAAAGAAAAGAACAAGGATTCATGATGTAATATTCGCACTATAAACTTCTTTACCTCTAAGTCTTCTTACGTCTGTTTTCTCAGTAAAATTGGGTAGCCACGCATGCCCTCAAGACCAGGCTTCGACATGGTACTTGCCAGACTTTTCCAGCGCGTGAATCCACCTTGCAGCAACTTCTTTCGTAACTCCACCCTCTAAGGAAATTATTTCCTCCAGAGCTGCCAATACATCAGAGGGCATTTTGTTAGCAGAACCTGCAATGTAGACAGCAGCCCCCCCAGCAAGCAGATTCCAGATTTTCGTGCTTTGTTCTCGCATTTTATGTTGCACATACACCTTTTGTGGCTGGTCTCTTGAGAACGCAACATAAAATCCTCCACCTTTGTCCTCTGAAAGTACTCCGCCACTTTGTAAATGGGACAACCAAAAGTCTCGATATAAGAAGTCATTCTCCTCATTTCTGCAACCAAAAAAGAAAAGCACTGGAGCTCTCGGACCAGATTTACTTTGAAGGGCTCTTTCCTCCACAAATCCACGGAATGGAGCACAACCAGTCCCGGGTCCAATGAGAATAAGTGGAACTGAGGGTGAAGGTGAAGGAAGAGAACCTTTGTGAAACCATGCCGGAATTAGGACTCCTGTTCAATATAATAGTTAAAAAGTCAATAACCATGGGCTTAGTGGAGTTACTGAAAACACACTGCATATAATACTGTAGTGATGGACCATACTTTGCTGCAGATCAAGTCCAGCTAGCCATGTTGAACAAAGACCCTTGCGCGTCCTTTTGTATGGTGTTGTCCAAGACACAACGCTCACCGTCAAGTGTACTTGATTTGGGTGAGCAGAATTAGAAGAAGAAATGGAGAAAGCTCTCGTCTTTAGTGGAGGAATTAACTGTACCAACCATTCAAGTGGCATTTGCACAGAATGGAAATCTTCTAAGACCTGAAATCTCCAATGAAACGACACACATAATGTCAATGGAACACGAGAATAATCCTCCACATACTGCAACGAACATTCCAGCATTACACCAAGAAACGCCAAGAATTAGCATGTCAAGTGGTCCTAAACCAGCATAAATAGAAGATCATCATGTTTACAAGTTCACATTGAATCAACACCATGTGATCATGCATAAACAGGTCTATAATGGGAGCAAACTCACTAAATCTACAGCCAAGCTCTAAGCAAAAATATCAGGCTCCATGACTCAAAATTTTCACTTTCGTGGGACAGATGACCTGAGAGAGCAAATTCATCTCAGTGACAAAAGATATAATAAATTGGAAATTCCACTATATATTTGGAAAGATCGCCAGTGCATCCTCTACAATGGACGTGCATTCCATGTGTCATTTCTGAAGGCAAAATTAACTAAACTGCCCATGTTATAGTGGAAGAAAGTAAACTGTCATGCACAATCAAACAGATCAAAAGGTAACTATCTCTGGTGGTTAGTTCATATTATTAATAAAGGTGGCACCTCCAGCACAGTTCTTCGTTCCTTTTGGTTGTATTGATATAGATCATCTCTTCCTTCAGGCGACGCAAAATACTGCAGCCTTTCCTTCTCATGTTGAGCACTGGCAAAATTACTCATGATCTGCAAAACTTCAGCATATCAGTTTTGCTCACCAATCAAAAGCAAATTGATAACATAACCTTCATAGCAAAGTAGAAGTTTAGAATACTTGATTATCTTGTACAAATACATGATTGGTTCCAAAGTCAAGACTTGTCAGATTCCTAGAAAGCAAATAATAAACAGGACAAAACAAAATATTTTGACCAGACTGCAAATATAACTTTAGTTAAAGATGACTGCAAATACAAATTAAACCACAAGAACAAGAAATGAACATGTACATCACACTCAATCTAGCAGTGCACATAGCTTTATCAAAGAAGCACGAGTGCAAAAACCAAGTAAAGTGAAGGCACATGGTGACATGTTCAAAGCTAGAAAAGTGACAGTTAAAAATTACAGGAGTTGTCCACAATGCATCGGAACGCACTGTAGTTTAGATGTTGAAGAGATAAGAGTTCCCCAACTCTAGATCATTAGGAAAAACTATTAACAAGTAAATTGTGCTGGGTAAAAGCATTTCTTTGTATAAGAAATTTGGTAATCAAAATAAAGAAAGAGTAACTCATGACTATTTTCTGAGGAAATACACTTGAAAATATACTTCACAAATCAATCAATCAACATGTTGACTCTTAATTACTGACTCAATTTGCATCAGTAAGCAAAACTATGAATTTGATAACTACAAAGACCACGTTAACCACCATGAAACTCTACTCAAACAGACATGAAAAATTTGTAGATCAGCTCTTACAACAGAAATTCAGTTATAAACTGATTTCATCAGTCAAAGTTTGTGCAGCGGCAGAATTCTCTGATTACCTTTTTAAAATGTCAGCACTTGAATATGTCTAAAACCCAAATATCTTAGAAAATAATGAATGCAGGATTTTCAAGCCACCAAGAAAGCAGAAGAACTAAAAAAAGAAAATTTGAAGGAAGACGTATAAAATGTCGACATTGAAAATTAAATAGGCAGAATTATATCTGACCTCAAAGAAATAGCGTCTGGGCGAAGCTGATGCAATATCCATTGTTAATTCCACAAAAGTTTTCAATTTCACAGGGATGTCCGGAGCATGGTTAGTATCACCCATGGAATTCTCTTTCTTGCTTGGTTGAACCTGGAAATAAGTAATTCTTAATTAGCACCTGAACAAGCACAAAGCAACCTATCAAAGATCAAATCCATCTCATGCAAAATTTATGTGCATACATCCGGAATTGACAGCCATCACCAAGTAAGAAGAAGAGGGCAAACACAAGAGGCAAAAGGTGAAACAAAAGTAGACAGGAAGACATACAGTGAGAAGAAGGAGAAGAATAATTCCAAAAAAGATCATCTGACAGGGATTATCAGGGCACATAAGAAACTATCAATGTACTTCTCATTCTATAAGGATGAACCTGGAAAGAACTATCTATGGTGTCCAACAAGTATAATACATGCAACAAGTACAAAAAAAGTTTTCACAAAGAAGTGGTCATTCATTATGTCTAAATTATACCTCCATTATGATGCATCAATAACAAGTGTCAAGTACTAGCCATGACTCGGAAAAGATGAGTAAAAAAGGAGAATGGATGCACAAAGAATTATGTGATTCAAAATTCAAAAACAAAGAGCTAGCATATGAAGACAAACAACTCAAATGACAGCAACACAATAACGATGCAAAATCAGGCTTCAAAGTTCCAATCTTAATACATAAATTCTGTAAAATGACAGAAAAACAACTACATTCAGAGGACTGCTTACAGTGATGTAAGCTTCTGGGTTCAAATTACAACGCTTCATGAAAGCATCAACTGCAACAGGATCTTGGCTGGGAAGCACCTCGAGAACATCACCAACATCATAGTGAATAGACTGAAACAAGGAAAAAGACTGTCCTGTGAAATATAGAACGTCAATTTTGCAAGTCATAAAACTGACAAATTCTGCCTGATTTCATGACTTACTGATGAAACTGCTTCGAACTCTAAGTGCCATACATCCTTGCCGCTACCTGGCCTAGTTAATGGGCAGTTTTCTGTCTAGACCAGTGAATTGACAAAAGCACAAGTAAAGTGTATGAATTTAAAAAAAAAAAAAATTAAAGAACCAGGACAATAACATTTCTTTAAGCTCTCCTCTAGACAGGTTCCACGCAGACATACATGCTTGACAAAAGCATATGCATGTATTCAAGAGTAGGAGTGTAAGTGTGTGGGGTGGTTTTTTTTGGGGGGGGGGGCAGGGGGTTGGAAAGAGCACATGTTTAACAGATGTCAAAAATCCAGTTCAGTTTATGCGGGGCTATTTTTTTAATAAGTTAAACAGGTACTAGCACATGTTACAAGCACTCTTTATCAGTAAAAGCTTTAAGCAATTTGCCTAGAGAATTAGCATAACATTGTATATGTGCTGCAGCGAAGATCTAAGAATGGTTTGTGTAATAATTAAAGAAGCCCCAGAGACTGGAACAGGCAGCAAAGTGTTCAAGAAACATTCAAAGAAGTACGTTAGTCCAGAACTTCCCAAGCCATTCAAATTTTCCATGTCATGTCCCTAATATGTATCATACAGATTATGCTCATTACTTCAAAACTTCAAGAAATCACCATACCAAATTTAGAAAGCAATCAGGCCTCATCTTGCCAGAAGATTTCCCAGGGGACATTGAACGAGTTCTCTCGATCAGCATCTCAAGACTTTTGAAGTCTGCAACAGCCATAAGTTTCATTCTCAGGTGGATTGCATACCAAATGCAGACAATAGTAGACATGCAGGCATCCAATATCATAAATTTAAAGTCATAAGAAGCCAAAAATTGTAGGTAGAAAATGTTAGATTCCAATCATTTTTGTTCATTTATGGCATTGTATCAAGTACTAATCTTCTCTCTTTCTAAGGGCTTAATCTTCTATGTAGATGATGATTCTAACATGCTGTTCTATTTTAGGCAATGTCCTGGTTCGATTTTCAGCACCAATCATGATAACCAGTGCCAAATTATTGAATCGTGAAATAATCCAGTTCACATGTGGAAGTATGTGCTTGAATTTACAAAATAGTAAATTAATCTCCTCTCTAATTGAAGAAAAAGTTTTAACTTCGGAACTGGTGGCCAGGGGTTGCTCTTGCCCTAATCACTTTGATTTTTCAGTCACCTCTATTTTTTGCACAAATACCCCCATTAGCTTTGAAATTTCAACTCAGCTTTATACTCTGGGCTGCTGATCATGGTGCCATTGCCTGTTCAAAAAGGTGAAAAATTAACCAAGGAGAAAGGAACTTGGACAATGACGTCTAATAGTAGCTAAAGAAGCCACAAACTTGTGTTGAACAGTATTGATAACACTCTGAACTTAATCTTTATGCTCTACTTGTCCGTGTTAGAGTATGCTTGAGAAAGCAAAGGATAGGGCAACACAGAGAGAACAGCTATACTCTTCTAGAAGCTTTCAGTACTCTGCAAGGCTTACGGTATTGCGACACTGCCAACTAGAAGGGAGAATAGCTTCACCTTTGTACGTATTGGAAAATAAAGAATGTTTATAAGCTTGTGACTAAGTAGATAAACATGTAGCTGAATTGTATGAATAGGTGAGACAATAAACAACATACAGCCCCCAAATTAAGTGTTAAGTTCACCAACCAGTCTAAGGAAGCAACTCACCAATGGCGGCTGAACATTGAGAATTTCCTTTACCAACATCATGATACGTTATCTGTATCTTCGGCTGATCCACCCAAGTACCATTTAATGTGGCAGTATTTGGATCATTAGGGAACAAATTAGGAGCCTTATTGTACAATGTCTTCCACAATTTGGACATCCAAGGGTCCAGAGCTCCTTCATACCTATAATTGCAGCATAGTGGGTAACAGTCAGTTTTGGAAAAGCAAAGACAAGAATGCAAGGTGATAATCTATTTTACCTGACAAAAAGATTAAAGACATATCCATAAGCTCATTTAACTGATAGAAGCAGTAGTAGCAACAATATAAAAACTTGACTATGACATTTTCTATGTCCCATTAAGGAATCATAAAGCAAAAGCCACAATGTGAAGATATATATATAAATATAAATATATTCTATCTACCAATTTTCAATTCCTACCCAAAAAAATGCAGAAAAAGAAAAGATTTGGTTGAATGTTGCTAATCACAGAATCATACCCTGATGGATGCTGATCATCTCCAAGACCTCTTTCAATCAGGGATCTAGCACCAAGATCCAACAGTCTTTTGTCTAGCTTCTTCGCAACAAACTGCAACAAGAACACACAAAAATGATACGTAATTCAGCATTCAAACTAGTCACAATACACAATTGTTTCACAGTTACCATAGCATGAACTTGTGACAGTATTGAGAAATAATGCCAACTCTGCTTGCGTACGGACAAGTTTAAATAGAAGCTAATATTTTATCCTTCTGAAACAAAATATTCGAATTCATACTTGCAAATGAAAATCTAAAATGAAACGTAAAACTATAACGCATGCTTTTCAGTCAAGAACGTTTATGCGCCAGCATTTAACAAGTGAAAATATTTATAGGCAGGCAAGATGAAAAAGCTCAAAATCCCAAGAAAAAACAGCAAAATTGAGCTGAGCGGGAGGGAAGAACGGGAGTACCATAGGATTAACCTCCCTAGGGTATAGAAATCATCATTACATTATATTTCTGGTAGCTCGAATCACCCAATCCAAACACGCCATAATCAACTCCTTTAAGCCACTCCTTACTTAAACTCCTCTGCAATAAAAACCTCCAAAACCCCTATAAAAACCAAAATTTCAGCAAAAGCAAAATCCAAACACAAGCTCCCAATAAATCAGAACCAAAAAAGCAAAAAAAAGCGTATAAACCTTCATGGAATCCGGAACGTCCCCTTGGCCGGTGGTTGAAACCACAAAAATGACCGTCTCTTCAAAAGGTAAACTTTTCTGTAGCAGTAAATGCATGAACATAGGTACGTCTAGACAGAAAAAATTCGTGTATGCACGTACTAATCGGGAAAAAGGCGTACGGGTTCAAAGTCATCGATGCAGAGGACGGAGACGGGGCAGCAGCGGCGATCGGCTTCGCGACCTAATCGCTCAGCTGCGTCCATGGCATTTCCAGTTTCTGAAGCGTAAAGTATTAGCAGCTTCTTCTTGTTCGGCTCGTCCTCCATGATCGGCTAGGCGATAGACCAGCTTGTTCCGGTTTTCCCAATGCAGTGCTGTGCAGCCTTCTTTACAAAATACGTTCCGGACTGGGACAAGAAGCCTACAGCAATGGGTGTGATCATTTAGGCCCAATTTCTATGTTGGTCTAGACTTTTGTGTGCGCTAGGCCAGGATTAAGATGGAGCCCATAGGCTGTGTAATGAATGAATGGATTCTGTGCTTTGAATTCATTTTTTCCCATTTGTCTGTTGAGCACTAAGCATTTGCTAATCTATCATTCATATTTTTTCAAGTTCTCGAGTCGAGCTAATTAATATCCATCTTGTTAAACAATTAAAGTTTTGCTATATATATATATTTTTTGAAACCTTAAGTTTTCCCAATTTGGTGTGGAAGATCACGGAGTTGCTTAATGATAATTGAGAATATGATTTACGAAATGCTACAATTCTTTCCGGAGCACGGTACCATGATTCTGATCCATTTACGTCTTGTCACATTATTTAGTGATTTAAATAATCTATTTAGTGATTTAAACTCTTAAAGTAATCTAAGAGTTGATAACTTGTATTTTATATCCAACAATGAATTTAATCTTACTCTTACTGATATAATAATATATATATTAAAGGATTGTACAACCCCTCTGTTATTTGTGCCGCCATCGGTACGAGGGGTAATTTCTATTCTATCCCTTGGCCAAAACGATCTTTGAGATATTAAGCGGGAGTCCCTTTGACTTCAGATCCTCTGGATCAATTAAGAAGGGCTCCTCTTTCTCATTGAAAAGAAAACATATTATTGTTAGGTAAACCACGCATCGAATCATGGAAGTACAAATGGTGGTAGTATAAATCTGTTTCAGCATTCAGCATAACGATTGATGTTCTAGTAGGTCGAAATATATGAATTTACGACAACGAATTAAAGAAAGCAGAATTCTGATACTCAAAAATAAATTACAAACCTCAGCCAAAAAAAAAAAAAGAAAAAGAAAAAGATGCTGACACATGGCCGCGCAGCAAGCATTTCAAAATTTACAACAAACTAAAGAAATTCAATTTTCGGCGTGCTTCGCAAATATGCCACCTCTATGACTTCACTAAATTTGCCGACTGACACTCCACCGACAATGCAGACTACTTCTGATAAGCATTTTTTCCTGCCACCTTTCCTAATGGATGGATCTCTTCTCTCCGTTCCAGCTACTACCAGCATCATCATTTTCATCTTATCCGAAAGATATAATCAGTTTACAATTTGCCGACTCCGTGCCCAACCCACTGCTCCATGTTGATCAGAAACTCTTCAAACGATGGATGCGAGCATCTTCAATATTTATTTCACCTGACCAGTTCCCTGCTCTTCTCCATGATGTGTGGAATCAGACGCGAGTTGGTCATGGATGTCGTCCCTATCACTCCAAGTCCAACTCATTTTTGTCGCAAGACCCTGCACTGGTGCTAACATGGTGTTCATTGTCTGGATGACTATGTTCTTCAACATTTTGAAAATCTGGCGATGACAGACTCTCTTCAGTGCTGGGTGCTATTGTAATCTTTTCCATCTCGCACGCCTTTTTGTACTCTTCTACTTCAACAGGACTAGTGACAGCTTCACTACGTGTCTGGCTTGAAATAACTTTGCTGCTGTCAGGTTGGAGACCATCAAGTTGCTCAGTACTGCGGCGATCACATTCAGGATCATGGATTTCTTCTACCTGATTTCTGACCATCGCAGAGTCCAAAATACCACCTGCTTCTGCTTCCGCATCTGCATCATTTGCAACAATGACTTCTTTTGCCTCATCTGAATCACGCGGCCTAAGGTGCCCTTCAAAGTCATGGATCGGAATAGAAGGGTTTTTAGTCGAGTCAGGCTCTTCTGAGGTTATGCTGGAAGTTGAAGCAGCTTCTTTTGTTGAGGCAGGAAATGATTGGAAAGTGTCCCAATCATCATCATCATCTTCTTCCTCACTTTTATCATCCGATTCTCTCGCCAGGGATGATGGTGAACTTTGCTGCTTGGTTTCTTCTGTTTGTGCAGGAATCTTTATCGCTAATGGTGGCACCATAGGCTTCTTTTCTATTATATTCTGCTCCTGCTTCATAGAAGCACGAATAATATCCTGAAAGTGCAACATCTGTTTTAGATCTTGAAGTCCATTAGAGTTGAATAAAAGCGAGACAATGCAGTTCATCATGGGATTACATGGAAAGAGTACACAATACCATACAGACTAAGAACGTGATTTGCAAAAGAGACGGAAGGTATTGAAGTTCAAGCATAAGATAAGCATCAACAGCATGCACATAATCACTTCAACTGAAGCTACAATAAAAGAAGTAATATAGCTTTTCAGCAATAGTGCTGGTACAAGGACGTCATTTATCAAACAAGGGCAAAAGTGAAAACTAAAGATACCTGAACAAACATGGCATTTCCTTCAAAAATGTAAAATAAAGGAAAAATACCTGAAGTTGCTGTCTTCTTGTAATAGGCATTGTTAGCAGAACATCCTTGAAATAAACTCCAGATTTTGGACTCTGAGCAAGCTGTGAAACAAGTTTTATAGCTGTGCTTCTCAATTCATTAAGGTCCTGTGGGTAACAGAGACAATGGTGCTAATTTAGTCCAGTTTAAACGTTTTCAGAATTCAAAGACGCAAATCAAACACCGAGAGTCCAATTCTCAGCCTGGTGTTACCTGAGAAAGATTTTCCTCTGATGCTGAAAAAACCATGAAAATTGCTTCCAAAAGCAAACTTAGAATGCCTTTCTGACATTCAGAGTCTCTTGATAGTGCTTGGAAAAGCATTAGAATTTTTAAGCACTCCCCAACTATCGTGACTGATTCCCTGATAGGTTTCTGTAGTCATTTGTAAAGCATGTGTCGGGTTTCTTTAGGATGATTAGACAATAAAGGCTTTGAAGTGGGGAATACATAATTAGCTATCACCTCCAAAAATTTTTGGATCACAATGAGGAGGTCTCCGGCAAGCTCTCCAACAAAGAATATCTCAAAAGAGTTGCATGTATCACTGCTCTTTTGTAGCATGCTTTTCAACACTTGCAAGCTAATCACTTGAACCTGTACATGAGAAGTTTTGCATCGTGAATGACAAGTGACTACAGCTCAAAACCACACAATCAGTTGTTACTCAGTTACCTGTATGTTGTAATCACTAAGAACAGCCTGGATACATTGATTGCTATGGTATAAATCAGTTGATAAACTGGGATCATTTTCTTTCCCTTCACCAAAGGATTCAAGCTCAAAAGCTACTTTAGCAAATGAAACAACATGTTCAAGAGAACAAGCAAGCCTCATCTGCAGCAATTTCCGTTGGTTGGACCTCTTATCCTCCATTTGATGAATACTGTCGACGCATTCATTAATCAAACTAACAGATGCATTTAGACAAGCATGGTTGATTGTTCTCAATTGGCAAACACCATCGTAATCAAGTTCAGATTTATCTGCGAATAAAACTGTTTGTCATCCCAGACATTTTACTCTAACATGGGACAAAATGATCTAACAGCATAATACATAACAAGAAGCCATATCCCGAGTCTTAGTAGGCTCTGCTAACTATGTTGATTTGCAACAGATTTGACTTCCTATTATATTCCAAGTACTAGGAACAAATTCTAAGTTACCATCAGGAAAACCATAGGCTCATGCAGGCCACTATATTCTATGAGAACAAAAAACATTTTTCACCATTAGTCTGTAAGAAGTGCCAAGAAAAGAAAATTAGAATATTATAGTTTTTCACCATTACTCTGTAAGAAGGGGCAAAATGGCTGCATGAGAGAATCTGAACACCCCCCCCCCCCCCAAAGCTCTCCCCCCAGAATAAAGGGGTATAGTCAGAATTTGATGGCCAGACTATTAGGTTAGTTTCTTGATCATAAAACACGGAATGCAAGCAAAAAAGTAATTGGAGATTCATGAATCACAGTGACTAGGATTTTCTTAGCATCAAGACGGTGCAATTGGAAAGCATACATCAATACTGGTGGCTTACCAACATGCCCCTTCACAATGGAAATGATAGACAGAACAAAGTCATTAACTCTGGAAAGGGACAATTCAGTCGATGCTGCTCCAATTGATTTGCAGCCAATTAAAAGAAAACCAAACAAAAGTTTTAACTGCATCTGCAATACAAGTTATGTTAAATAAGCAAGGTATAAAAAAATTTGGACAACATAAAAGAGAAAAAGACAGTATATTCTATCTATCTGATACCCCCTACTATAAGGATCATGTAGTTACACATGCCAGTACTTTAGAACCCACCTTACGATCAACCCGTCTCAGAAGTGTTGCAGCTGCACTAAGTGAGACCAAAACGGTATTTTCCCAATTCAATTGATAAGGAGAAGCTGCATCACAACTGAAAATAAAACAGCAAGAGGCTTCTCTTATATTCTATTACATAAGTTAATTTTTTATCTGAGATATGGAACCAAACAATGTTCATCACTTGGATACCTCGCAAAGAACTTGAAAAGAAATGCTAAACAAAGTTCCGAGGACAAGTATGCAAAATTTTCTTTTTCCAGGAAATCCTTCGGGCAGTTCTGCAAAATCTGTTAAAATAATGGAAAGAAATGATGAAAATCTCAGAATCTAGCCTCATGATGGTAACCTGCTCAATCATAGAGAAGAACTAGAACATTAAGCAGAAAAATTTGGGCATAATAACTTGGGGATGAAATGTGATACTTTTAAATCATGGTTCAGAATAAAGCAATATATGCACACTGGACTAAAAATGAGAAACATACATACTCAGATTTTAATTGTTAAATCATTTAGTTTCCCATCTATTCAAGTACCACCTTACTTAATCCAATTAATACAATATGATTTTAATTTTATTCCTGCGCATTAACTGCATAGGCCTAAATTTTATCATATATGTAAATTATGCTGAACTATCTACAGTTATTTTGAAATAAAACAGACACTAAAATGTTCTGAAATCCTTCATAACACACTTGTTAGTTCTTCAGCTAGTCAATTAACTACCAGGTATTACGAAAAAAGGAAGAAAATGGAGAACCCTTTTTCAGTTTATCTATTAGATATTACCACAAAGCTGTAAGATTAACATTTTCATGACAAAGTTGATCCTGCAGATTTTGTGGTGTGATAGTTTGTTGTTTTTCAAGTACTACATTTAAATCTCAAAGTTCAAATACTCCAATAACTGAAGTTGTCTTTTCATGTGCTTCAGCTTCTTCCTATAGCTGGTAATGTAAAGGGATTCATGAAAACCTGTTTAAGAATTTGAAGGCTTTTTCTCTTTTTATCTTCCAAAGTATAAAAAAGCCAAAAGCTACTTCCTAAAGCACCTGAATGACTGCTTCTTGTAATAAACTAAAAATAAACAGAAAGAGGAACTCAAATGTCAAAGTCAGAATCAGCTGAGTTTAGGAAAAGAGAAATGAGCGTAACTCTTTTATGAAAAGGTTCCCTAAGAAAAAAGCTAAATCACACTGACCTCTCCAGAGTCCAGTCATAATGTCATAACCTCCACTGAAGTTTTTGAAATTGCATTGACCACTTTTAATGTTTTACATCACTTCATGCAGACATCATATATCACAATAACATCAATTGAAGTTTGTTGACATCATCATCTAATTAAAAACGCCCAAAATAGCCTTGCAGGATTATAGCAGGGAGGTCATTCGAGCAAGAGATAATAGCCAATTTTGTGGAAAATCACACTACAGAAATGGAAAAGACTGAAAAGGAATTGCGAATCGGATTAGAAATCATGAGGGCCAGGCATGTAACTGAGGCGGGAGGAGTTGCTGGTTCAAAAATGAATGTATTTCACGCAACAGTTATTATCCTCAAACAAGGTTCATGGATTTCTGGAAACTTTACGGGTAAAAAGACTTGTGAAAATCACCTTTAACATGACAGAGACTGCAAGACTATCCCATGAATTGCCTGCAACTATTGAATACAAAAAAACCTGCATACAGTGTAAATAATTTGTCACATAACAGTTTAAACAATTTGAGAAATTGTTGAATTGAACTAGAATACAGCAACAACACTTAAATGAATAGCAATCCAAGAAGTCAGCAACCAGCATGATTAAAATGGTTTCACATATTTCAGAATGACTAGAGGAGGACAAAGGCTTTAATGCTTATGTGGTGTTAATCCAAAGATACTGATTAAATACCAAACAAATGGTCAAAAACCAACAATCACACAAGATGAATCAAATGCAAATGCACAACAGGAAGAAAACATGACCAGCTTGCATTTATTTACAGATGTAAGTAGCAAAAACCACATCTGCTTCATGGGATATTTTCCAACCTGAAATTTGATGCAAGGTTGCATCTAACAAGCGAATCTGGCAAAGAGCTGCTCAGACTTGGAATGCAGTGGCTAGTAAAAGCTAAAGATAAATTTATGTCGGAGCATGAGCAATAAAGACCAAATCTTGGATTTTTCAGGCCAAGACAAAGGTGGAATCAGACCAAACTAAACAAAAAGATTGTGTATATTAAGCAGCACAACAAGATGGATATCCTCTGTTAAAAACAAAGTTGAAGCAATGAACTTCATCCCAGATACTGGACGAATCCTACAAATAAATCAAGGTTATTGCATCATAGACCAGTCAGTATTATCAAGTCAGAGACCATAGCTTTGATATCATGAGAAAATTTTTCTTTGTGCATATTAAGTATTACTGGTTCTTGCCAGCTATCCATGTCAGAAGCTTTACCATGGAAGTCAAAACTTAAAAACATTAAAACTAGACCATACACATATAGAGGCAATTCAACTCTAAGAACGCATGCAGCAGCAGTATCAAATGCTGAAATATACCACCTTTTGTTGTACACACAATCATTTAACTGCTTGAAGTTTCAACGATTCTAGATCAACACCATTAAGTTGACCAAAATTAACAGACTTTACTGCAAAAGTCTCAAAGAATATAGATCATCAATCTAATTAAATTGACAAAAATAGCAGGAAATAATAGCTGCAAGAACCCAATCAAAATAAATGTACAGCAGAATCTTGATTCTGGAGATATTTACCTGCAACAATTCTCTGCAGACATCCATAGTGAGATATCCAGCGCTGAAAAATCTTTCAATTGACAGAAATTGCAGAACTGGTAGAATTGTTTCGTATATCCTTGAAGTTACAGAACTTCCATCTTCAACAGTCAAATCAGCACTAAATTTTGACTTGACTGAACCCACTGGTATTACAACTTGATCACTAGATGTATCTTGCCCCTGAAATAGCACAAGTAAAGAGAAGCCCCATAGGAAATGAAATTCTTCTGCTCGCAACTCAACCATGCGGTATTCAGAAATAAAGTCACTTTCTGATTTGTCTTCAGCTGCTGAAGACCCATTTGCAAAAGGTTTGACTGGAGCAGCATCAAGCACCACAGCTTGCAGGATCACTGGCCAGGCTTCTTCTAAACAAGGCTGCAACTTGCTTGAAACTAGAGACGATTGGACTCCTTCAAGAAAAGCTTTCCACTGTATGCAGCAGAGGAAAAAATTAAAAGCTTAGGCAGTAAAGTCAAGACTTCTAAAATGGTTCATTCTTCCATCTTAAACCCAAAATTGTTCAGCAAAAGAACTTAAGCTCACGTTCTTCCTAGGAGGTAGACGAAACCGGATGTAACTATAGTCCTTCAAAACAGACAGCCAGTACAGCCCGAGAGTATCTGAACTTTTAGAAAATAAAGGTAATAATGCTTGATATTCGCCAGGCATCCTGTCTTTTTCTCGCCTCAAGAATCCATAGATGTAACATTTCAGGGAGGCATGGGCCGTCAGAAGTCTTATTTTGATCTGGAATACAGGGAAAAAATCAGCAGCTGGTGAAGACCTCTAACACATACAACATAAATAGATAATCTCCAGATGTTGGACTCAAAACAATTAAAGCAATATCAACCTTGCATGAAACCCATTCTGCAAAAGATGGATAATAAAGGTCATTGAATTCATTCAGGGGACGTGAAATCAATGAAAATATTCGCTTCACTGCAGCTTTATCTTGACTAATAACTCCACTTGTCAATATCTGGAAGTTCAGACATCATGATATATGCATCAATACTGCAATGAAAATAAATATGAAATGTTGGTCCTATAGACATTTCAAAACCTTTGTGGCCAACCGCAATCCTGCTTCCAGAAGAATAGGCCCAGACAATGTGTCCAATGCAGTTCTAACAGCTGATAGTAGTTGAGCCTGATCTCCATCAAACATAATAATTCTCAAATTGTAAATTCATGGTAAAGTGAACTGTAACAGCAATTATCAAATTCAAAACTAACAAAACCTAAGCAATTTAACTGCAAGCAGAATGAGGTTCAGAAAGACAATAAGCAGACCTGATACTGTTCTAGAAGCAGGTGTCCAGAAAGCTCAGGATCTGCTATCTTTTCAAACTGCAGGAAAGCGCAATCAACTATTAGATTGTTTAAATTTAAAACTTGCAAAAACTCAATATCTACCAAAGGTTAGGTATCACTTAAAAGAAGAAAATTGCTAAGAATGTAGGTCACAAGAAAACACATCCTGGCAGACACCCCAAACAGTAAGACTGATTGCTCGAGAGCACCTTTCTGCTAATCTATGGACTTCTCTTTTTTTAAGCATAATGACCAAAAACAGGACCAAATATATGTTAGCGAATATAACTGATGTTAGCTTCTCTTATATTTATCCAGTTGATCACTAAAAACAACATGGTCAGAAACTGTACTTCAGCACTGAAGAGAAGAAAATATATTCCTGAATGACAATAGAAGAGCTTTGGCTTTTGACAGAATAATATGAGCATTATCATCTTTCTCTTCGAGGCATTACTTAAAATCCAAATAGCTGCGTCAATCTTGCTTTTGGAGACAACTCAAAAGCGATCATGAAATTGCAAGAAGCATGTTCACTCAGAAAAGACAAGAAAATGTATCCTATTGCCAACTACGATAATAATGTCTTGGCAATGCCAATATTAACAAGCCAAAAATCTCATCTCACAGAATGCAAAGCCAGAAATTTTTTTTCAGTGATTTATTTACTCAACAAGGAGAATCCAGATAGCACAGATGTTATACATACCACAAAGAAGACCTTAAAAATTACAGAAAGAAATATCTTATAGTAACACAAGAATCCACCAATAATCCCAAAAAATTAGAGAAGGTATTCCATTAACTTGGGCTGGAAAATGGTTGTGCAGTATCAGCAATTAACAAAATATTGTAGTCATCAAGGAGTTCCATGTAAAAGCAAATTAACAATGTTGAACAGACATACATGTGAAACTAATCCACAAATATTAGCAAAACAATGTCAATGAGGGATCTTTATTACAAAGAGCTAGATAATCAATCTACATAAGAAAAATTTTGCACATATCGAGGCTTTGTAACACACAAATGGTTGCATCTCAGCTAAAAAGTTCAATCATCTATAATGACAGGTGCAGCTAATATGTCAGTATCAAAATTATTTCCCAAATACCAAAGTCATGATAATAAATAATCATTATAAACAAACCAAGAGTAAAAAAAAAAAAAAAGAACCAAAGGACATCAACCATGAATGTAAAAAATTAATTCAAACAAGTGAGCCTATGTGCTCACAGCTGGACGACCAATTAGAGCAAAAGCATCAGAATTACCATAAATCACATAAAGAGTACCTTATCTATGATTGTACTCAAAAGTGCCACACCAATGGGCCTCATGTTCTCAAAATGGATAGTGCTTATCTGCAACATAAGAAGGAAAAACGTCACTATCTTGAGGATGTTGTTGCAGTTCAGCATTGTTAAAGAGTTTGATTAGAAGATAAAGAAAATATACACATTCTGCACCTGATAAGCAAGCGAAATCAGCTCTTGCAATTGAAGAACTAGCCAGTCTCCAGAAGCTATAGAATTAGCAGTAATGGTTCTAGCCAGAGAGAGGTCAAAGTGTGCAGGGTTATTTCCGACAGCTCCAGGAAGATGGCTCAAACACCTATATTCCAAACAAGTTTCGCTAATGTTACATTGAACAAAACAAACAACCAAAAACAAAGATATGAACTGCTACTCTCTATCAGTAAATCAGCTTCCACAATGGTTCAAGATGGAAGTTAGGTTTAGAATGCACATCACACGTATAGTACATACATACACTACTGCATCAGTCCCCTACTTGTGCACTCAGAAAGTGGAAGCAATACGATTTTTCTTCTGGTGAGCACATACAATTAACACTTTAGAGTCAACAAATTTTAATAAATAATCTGTGTTGATGATAGATAAGCATGTTGGACTTTGTTAGATTATCTATGGCACAAAGCCCCAAAGTTTATGCCCATGCTCCTATTTGCAAATTAAACAGATGTACATACATGTATTTCACCTACTTAGAAGAATGATCCAATAAAATGTTGGTCATTATTGGAAATTGACAGTGGAAGCATTAAGATAAAAATTAATTTGACACTTTAAACATAATTCTCGATGTACTTTATCCCAGCACCAATCCTAAAGTTTTTGATACTTGCTCCAATATAATCCACCATAAGAGCAGCTGCAACCTTGGCTCAAGTCAATCTCCATGTTCTCATATCTTGCGTAAATTTCCACACAATTTGCTTCTTAGTCCCTATTAAGTTTTCGACAACGTGCAAGTGAAAAAACACAAAAAATAAGCTACATACTCGGCTGCAAAAATTCTGGTGCGATATCTTAGGTGCTTATCTCTTGCAGAGCTGGCACCAGAATAATCAAGTGCATGACCCTGACTAGGCGTGCTCCTTGGGCTAGAAACCATATTTTCATCATCTTCTCCAAAATTTGATCTTTCCTCTCCACTTGGACCGGTTATAGAATCACTATCCATGTTATTACTGCCAGCATCCCTTCTTGATGATGTAAGAATCTAGAAAATTTAAAATTTTCCATATTAAACAGAAAATCAGCACGACAAATATTTTCCCATGAAGATGTAAATACTGACATCAAAATACCCATAATGTAAAGAGAAGATAAAAATATCAAGTGAAATCGATAAAAATATGTATATGATATAACACTTTCAAAAAAGAATCTTCACATAATACATTCTTTACATGATGAAAGGTGATAATTTCAGGATACTCAAAGTCTGAAATATTCTGCTTTTTATACTCAGATAGCATGAATCCACTATATGTACGTCTCTTTCTACTGAAAATGTTTGCAAGGAAATTTGAAAATGCATAACCATGGTCCTTAAAGGATCATTTATTCAGTTTTCGCAACACCAAGCCGTATCTAAGATGAGACTTCACAAATCTCACTTGTTCGACTCCACTCGAGCACTTAAAGAGAAGACTAAGAATGCGTTTGATAAAATGAAAATATGAAATCAAAAGTTTAAAATACGAGATCTAAAACTATTAAATTACTTAACTGTCAATTATTGAAATACTAACATTTAAGCGTATTTTGCATTAAGTGATAAGTGAGTAACTAATCATTTATTGTTTTGATTAAATTTTATCTAAGAAATTCATAACTGTTAAATTAATTAAGATGTTCTATTTTTTTTTATCTTCAAGCACTTCTGAACATTTTAAAATTTGAATATATTAAATTTAAGTATTGAATTAAGTTATCAAATATTTGTTGAGTGTTTTGATTTAAAAATAATAAGATTTGTTATATATTTTTAAGTGAAAAACTCTTGTATTTATATATTGGATTTGTTTCAAATCAAAGCATGCTAAAGTCTTGTGCTACCAAAATTTTTAGAAATAATGCAGTAAGTTATAAACTGATTTGATCAATGTATCATAATTTGATAGACCTTACTGAAACATTTGCAAATTACATTCAGTCCAAAGGGGGCATGTTTGCAATTAACCCTTGATTCCATAGCCCTTGGCCTTGCTGAGGGAGGCAACTTGGCAAAAACATACCAATGGGGGGACTCTATTGGAATCTGATGATTGGGAAGTGAGCACACGCGGCACCAGTGCAAGTGTTATTGTGAATAGTTAGTTCAAGGTTTCTTTTTTTAAAGGAAATTTGAGCGAAGGTGCAGCCCCCAATTCCACGAATATGGAAAACCTGGGGTTTAGACTACCTCTATTTTATTTTTCTCCATCAAACAACTGCGGCCTCTAGTAATGAACTAGCTGACCGGTACCGCCCCAATTAATCCCAGCGGCTTCCCTCCCAGCATACAGGCACGATACCTCTTCAACACGTTACAACTAGTCCTCCTATATATCGCGCAAGTCCTCAAACTATTACTTACCTCATTAAACATCATCTCTTCTTCTCCCCTAAAAACTTCTACTACTACTCATCTGGTATCTATTTCTTGTCTTTTTCAAAAAATTTTTTTTTGGGGGGTGGTTCAATCTATTATTTATCAGTTAGGCTGTTAAACGTGGAGTGATCATCATCAGCAAAAATGCGGATGAGTTGCAACGGATGCAGAGTCCTCCGGAAAGGCTGCAGCGAGAACTGTAGCATCAAACCATGTCTTCAGTGGATCAAAAGCCCCGAGTCCCAAGCCAATGCCACTGTTTTCCTCGCCAAGTTCTACGGCCGCGCCGGCCTCATGAACCTCATCAACGCCGGCCCTGAACACCTCCGACCTGGTTAGTTCACCTGCATGCATATATGTTTATATATATATATAAATATATATATATCTACGTGGCATTTTATTTTGTAAACCTTTTTGGCTAATTTAAGCTCTTAATTCTGTACAGCGATATTCAGATCATTGTTGTACGAGGCTTGTGGAAGGATCGTGAACCCGATATATGGATCGGTCGGATTGCTGTGGTCAGGAAACTGGCAGCTTTGTCAGAACGCTGTGGAGGCTGTTCTGGAAGGAGCTCCGGTGAGCCAGATTGAATCTGAAGCGGCTGAGACCAACAATGGGCCTCCTTTGAAGGCTTGCGACATTAGGCACGTGAACAAGAATGAAAAATCAGAGGGGTCGGGTGGTCTGCACCGGGTCAGGACCGGGTGCCGGTTCAAGAGGTCCGCGGTCAACAAGCCGAAGGTGGTAGCTAAGGGTTGGGTGGGTTCGGGCGATGATGAATCGGCTCATGAGGAGGGGAACCGGTCCACCAGCCATGAGTCGTCGTTGAGCCACCAGTCTGAGGCTGCAAGGAATGTGGAGGGAGAGAGCCAGGACACAGAGAGCTTGGCTTCTGAGGAGACGGGTGAGGCCGAGGCCGGGGCTTTGGAGAGAGCGGAACCGGAGTTGAGTTCAGAAAAGGACGAGCGAGCCGGGGATGGCGAAATTGAGCTGGAGCTAACTTTAGGATTGGAGTCGACGCATTCAAGAACTCATGGCGTCAAGGCGAAGGAAGTAAGCAAGCGGATTCATGAGCACGCTGCTTTTTCGGTCGACGGAGTTTGCAGGATGGAGCTGGGGTTGGACTGATCGGCTTGAAGACTTGATCAGAAAGCCGGGCGGTTGATAGTTTTGGTGGCTCGTTCATATCAAACTTCTTCTTCTTTTGTCTTATTTGTTTTGAGGAGTAATATTTTTGTAAGTTGTACAACTTTTGCTTTGCAGCAGGTTGGAGTCTTTTTGGGCTTTTTGTTTACCTTTTTTTTTTATTTTTTCACTTTCCTTGACGTAAAGAGAGAGAGAGAGAGAGAGAGGGGGTGGGGGGGGGGGAGTTGTACAGGGATGAGTGAATATGTACGTATACACAAGGGTATAAAATGGGTAGAAGGAAAAAAAAAATAGACAGACGGCTTGCTTTGCAAGAAAATCTTCTTCAAAGCCCGTAGTCTTGTCTTGATTACGTAGTAGAATATTTATTTTCCATCATTATTAGTTTATTTATTACTAATTCATGTCTGAACAAAATCCTTTACTATCTACCCATCGATGAAAGAATCCTTTATTTATTATCTAATGTTTATTTACTTGAAAAAGTTTTCAACCTATTGATGCATCAAGTGCCCGTGGAAAAAAGGGCAGTTTATACTTGGTAACTAAACCATCGACAGGTCATCTGATTACCGTGAAAATGCAGAGATGATTTGCATGGAAGTTTATTTTTTTTTTGTTTTTTGGATTGTTTACTCTTCTTACAGAAGCTTATGGATTTCCTGGCCTTGCGTCCTTCTTTATGCAATACATTGTACATGGGGCAAAGTTCTATCCAAGGTTCGTTTGGGTTGTAACTTTTCAAGAGTTTTTTTTGAAAAGAAATTGAGATAACTACTCAGAATAGCCTATTTATACAATTTTTCAAGAGTTTTTTTCGGTTTTTTTGAGAGGGAGGAGGGGGGGGGGGAATTGAGATAACTACGGAAAATAACTTATTATTTCTTTCCAAATCTTTTAATGTTGCAACTTGCAAATTTGTGTAAAGAAAATTAACCTTCTTATTTTTATTTACTGTATTTTCTACACTTTACTTCCCTTTAGGCTTTCCTAGAAGTCCACGTGTACAAGCAAATCAACTAAGTGTACAATCAATTGGATAAGTCACTGAACCAAAAAAAAAAGTACGGATCATAAATCTAGTGCAGAAAGAACTCTTCATTAGGTGTCAGAACTTTCCTGTGAAAAATGAGAAACCTTTTTTTTTTAAAAAAATATATATATATATATATATGACTATTTTCATCGAGCGAAAATTATGTCGATTGCTCATCCATGGACAAAAAAGAAGTCTTTGAAGTAGAAGCATCCCCTGACAGTGCAAGGGGTAAATAGGTGTAAGTTTCTTCTTAAAAGCAAGCAGCACTGCTTCTTCATATACATCAACTCTCCCAACGTTGATCTGTTTGGATTGTGAATTATTAGAGATATTTTTACTGTATCACTTTTTGTGATGTGATGTATGTGAGATAAAAAGATAATTGAGAAGGTAAAAAGGTGTATTGGAAATTATAATGATGATGTAAGCAAATAAATTTGGGGAAATAAAGCCCAATCCAAACAAACCTACAAGAATGGTTTAAAGTGAGTGATTAATTTATAGTTTGGCCCCGCTTAAACCATTTATATGTCGTAGTATTTCAATTTTTTGGAAACTTTTTTTATCTCTCAATTTGAATTGTTCTTAGCTGGGGACATTATGGGGTAAATTTTGCCATTTTACTTCATGGATATAACATTATGGAGTATAATTTAGTGATTAGGATTGAAATCTCGATGTCCAAATCCTCCTAGTTTCTTGCCGTGTTTTAAATCCCATCCTTTTCCCCCGCTGTAATTTTTATTTTTATTTTTCTAAATAGCATCCTCATATATGTTTGCCTAAGTAGCCTGCCCCACATATATATATATATATATATATATATATATATCCGGATCCGGACTATCGTTTACCCGATTTTCCGGGAACCCCAAAGATCCATTTGCCATTAATACCAATTTCCATTTCTATTGGCCCATTAATAGCAAGTTATTGGACCCACGCCCACTGCGCATCGACGTAAGTAAAGCAAATTGCAGGCCAACCAAAGCCCTACTGTCTCTTTCCCTTTCTCCCTGTCCGGCCTTTTTCCCCGTTTTCAGACTACACAACACCTCAGTGGTTTCTTCTGGTTCTCCTTTCCAAAACCAAACCCCATGGAGCAGGAGCTCAGCAAGCACCAATCCCCTCGCCTTTACCACCAAAAATACACCTCAAAACCCTCACTCAAAAAACACCGCATTTTAGAGTAGGAAATTTAGTCCGACTCCTTCGTCGACTCCTGGGTACGTATCCTAGTTGGTGTTTTTATTTGTTATTTTATTCTTCTTTTTGTTTTAAATAATTTTCACCGGTTAAGAAAATTAAACCTAGCTCCTCGCAAATGAGTTGTTCGATGCTGGTTTATGGATTTTCCCCCCTTCTTTTCGTTGTTAGCTTAGAAAGTGGGTAATTATCTAAAAGCTCAGCTCAATCGAGCATTGGTA